TCTAGTAATTCCATCACTTTAATTAGCGACTTCTCACCTCCATCCATCCTTGAAAACTTTAGGTAGCAGACTGTCAGGTCTTACTGTTTTGCATCGTTTCAAGTTATATACAGATTTCTTAACTTCAAGGGAAGTTGGAGGACCAACATCTACATCCTATACAGGTGCAGGCTGGATGTTGTGCAACCGAAATGTTGCTGGATCTCAGCTGATCTGGGCTTCAAAGTGTTCTGCCTAACTTTCTAGCCTTCTATCCTAGGAGGTAATCAGAGTTTTATCTTTCTCAAGGATATTTTGACTCACAACCCTCTTCTTCTTGCCGGTAGTTTTGATGAGCCATAATAGTTGCTAGGTGACACCCAACTGTGATGCCTCCTCCACCTTTATTACTTTCTTCGTTCACCACTGCTCGCGATCGACGCGAAGACTGTTAGTCAATTTATGTTCAAGTTGCTTTCCGTCTTCGTCGTGGTCAAACCCAACCACGTAGAATCAGTCTTCTCGCATCAATTTGTTCGAGTGATGTCGCAGAAATCCATTGGCGTTTGCTAACTTTCGGGAGTCGGCTACCAATTGTCTTTACTGCTTTTTCTACAGCAGACCTAAAATCTCCCCACGTTTCTTCAGGATGAGCATTGTTCTCAGGTTCAGACAAACGCTTAGCTATCTTTTCTCTAAATGCGTACTTAACTTCTTCAACTACCATTCGAGAACAGATGGGACTCACTGCCTCATATCTACTGCCGCCAGCAAGGTGCAAGCATACATGAGCCCGTAGTAGCTGGCGATTGGAGTCCAAACTAGTACTTCAGAAAGAGCAGCAAACCTCCGCCGATTTACTTAAACTATGTGTCACAGCAATGCAATCTATCTGCGTCCATCGTTGGTATAATGTCAGCGAACGCCATATTGCTTAGTGTCTTTCTTTATGCTTAGATTTGGTGCAGCAGACCATCACCGTTGTCGGTTTGCTGACATGGGATTCCGTAAATGCAACCGAGATATCTTTCTGATTGGGTCAGTTCAGCTTCCCTACTGGAGCGCTGAAGTCACCTATCATTATAACTACTCTTGAAAGTTAGTTAGTTGGAGGCAGTCGGCAGGAAACCCTAGATCTGGGCTTCATCCTTGTTGGGACTCACCAGTAAGGCGTATCTGCAACCTCGACGGCACTGATGTCCCGCCTGAGGTTCGAACATGTATCATCCAGTGTTGTAGTCAGTGACTTTACCACTGAGCTATTCGGGACGCGATCCACCTCCTGTAGGACTGGATTACATGTAATGATTGGTCACGGGAGTGCAACCAATTTCAAGTTGTCTAGTCTTGAGTACAGATCGAGTCTTATCAATCATGTTTGCAATGTGGCCACCAAGCTAGGAGGCTCAGCATCGTGGTGCACATTATTGGTTGTACTCTCATGGCCAATCAATACATTTGGAAGTTTTGCTTTCAATAGCAAGAAATGACAAAATTCTCGTAGAATTCATCTTTTGTATCATCCAAGCTACATTTGTTGGTGCGTAGGCGAAGATTACGAATAGGTATCGCCTACTATCACGATCTTTCCTATTACTTACAGATCCATTCAGTCAAGCAGCACATAGACTGCTGTTGAAGAGTGTCCAGTCGGGGATTTCACTTTCCGCTCTACAATGCAACGATAGGCTTACACTAGCGTGTCCACAAGAACTATCCATTAGGACTTCGGATACTCGTACGGTGAATTTTAAAGATTAGCTAATATGATCAGATGAGGTTAATTTAACAACCACACCGAGGTTTTGCATACGTGTTTCAGAGATACAACATATAGTGATGGCTAGAGATTCGCAAATTCCAGTGAATGATGCTTTCTGTCCAATTTGTCATCAAGTTCGGAAGCTGAAAGTCCCTACTTGAAACTGATGAAGGCGTGTTAGGAAACTAAGAATAAGATTTTGATGACTTTGATCATTGACAATGGTTGTAGTGTGACAGATTAGGTAGGGCGTAAGAGGTAAAATATTAGTATGAGGTGATGAAGGTAAAGGAGGAGATACAGTTAAGGAGGATAGGTTACGTTTAACTGGATAATGTGTACTCCTGGAAGTGTGTTAGTGGCTGACACTTTTCAGTTGCCCCATGCCGTTGATGGCTATTTCTTCTAAAGGAAGCTGAAAAAGAAAGATGTGTGTTGCTACAGTGTCCATAGGAGATCTGATCGAGACCCGTTACACGCAGTCTTTTCAGAGATGTTTTTTTGAGGTTTAGTTACTTTAACGTCAGTTAGAGACGACGATGACTGCCGGCATCGAAAAACCAGGAAGCAGGTGGAGTGTGTTATTTTTAGGGTCGACCTTTTCTGAGCCCTCGTGTCCCACAGGAAAGCTAGCATTAGAAGGGCAGTGCTAATCATCCGAAGGAAACACATTACTTATGTCACATCCCATCCAGCTGGCTGCATTACGTCTTCCTCCCTCAGATGGTCATCATAGTATAGTAGTAGACACTATAGAGGTAACTGCATTTAGTCTTACTATTATCCAAGAGACCTTTCTGGAATGGTGACACCTCGAAGGAACAAGCGTTACACCAGAATAGCTCGATGAGTCATTATGATATGCAACCCCGACCAAGATGTTAAGGTAGCAGATATCGGTGGGTGACTTTGAAGACCACCCTAACAGCTGCCAAAATAACCAATCAGATTCCGGTGTTTTGACTGGGAAGACAATTTTTCATAGGATAGGGAAATGTGATTATTTTCTTCCTCAGTTGCTAGGGTGGCCTTTAAAGTCACTGCTATCGGTAGAGTCAAAAGAATTTCAGTGCTACTATTTTAGTTTCCTTCTACCGGTTGAAAGAGACAGAATTACTTCAGGAAAAACCAACCCAAACGATAACTTCGTTATCTGAAAGTGTGGCCTTTGAAGTCACTTGAAATTATTGAAACAGAATACATTTATTAGGAAAACTGAACAGATTATTGCCTTTTGATAGGTGTATACATTAACAGGTAGTTTAGGAATATAAATATCTAATGTGGAGAAAATGCCGAAACTATTTCAAAAAATTCCATAGTTTATCTTTTTATTATTGGTTTCTGCAATAAAACTGCATAGGTGTTTAACTGACTGAAGTTATAAGTACAGAAATTCATTGTCACATAAATACCAGTTTTTAAGAAATATATCCACTGTTTTCATTTTCTCAGATACATTGTTAGCTGTACGCTGGCCGAATATCAGCATTTGTGACTCTCATAGGGAGAAAATAATTGACAATGGTATGTAAAGATTTCAGTAGTAATTATTTGCATAGTGGTCTTTCGTCTGTAAAGATGATGGCTGTATTTACCATACATTTTTATACATTTTCTGATTAGTTGCAGTAAAATGAAAATAACTACATGTCTGCTAAAGGAAATATATATTTATGAAGTAGCGATCTCTGTTATCTTGGAAGCTGACAAAAGCAGTCCTACGGAGAAATCAAACCTGTACTAGTAATCATATGTTTGAATAGAAAGTGGAACAAATCCGGTTACATCTTTGATCAATGTACTGATGCACACAATAATTATAACTCAGTCAACTGATTTGTCAGTAAATGTGTTCATGGGTGTGAATTAGTATAAGAAAGACAGTACGAAAACAAAATTCATTTCATTTGTGCGGACATGTTATGCATATTATGATCATTGTTTATTGCATGTTATTTTGCAAACACTTTTGAAATTAGCTGAGTTGTTGAGCCCCACTGTCCATTAAACGAATTGAAGTTCAAGATGATATGAAATGTTTCAGCTAATTTTCATCCACTGGATTTTCAATTTCAATTTTGAAAAGCTTTCACATTTTCATGTTCACTGTTTCCATGGCGGAGGCAACTGTCTTGCTTATTATCTTCAACAGATGTATGAGCTCACCGTTCTGGATGATTTCATGCTTCATCAGTTTAGGAAATTCAACTTGATATCTAAGTGGTTTCCACTAAACATAACAGACTCTTCAATTTAGGAATCTTTCGTCTTTATGACGGTAATGTTGAAATGGAAAATCATGAATACTAGTGTGAGACATACAGCGAGTGAATTATGTCAGCTACAACCACTCCAGAAACTTGCTGAATCTTCTTTCCCTGTGCTTAGTTATCTTCAGCAAGACCAAAATAGACGTTATGGTAGACAAACTTATTAGTCAGGTGTCTATGACAAGGTTTTTATCCAAGCTATATATAAATTACAAACTTGACTAAACATTGAGTGGTGTTTGCACACCTTCCTCGTTGTCGCTGGGATCATTCAAGACCTGTGTGATTCTTGACAAAGTGTAAATAATTTGAACGTCAACAGCTGCTATGCAAATATGGATGAAATGGACTGATTGAAATAAAGTCGACTTGTTTCAACACACACATTTTGTCAGGCATGTCAGATGCTGAGAGATGACAGATGTAGATGTTCAACACCAACAACTGTGATCTCAGTTAGTTTCATGTGAACACGTTCATTTATAGAGGGCCACTTCAATGCTATTTCTGACCTGAATATCACCAAACGCAAGCAGTTATTGGGAAGCTGGAGATCGAGTGTGACACTGCAGAACACGATGATTTCTACGAAAGTGTCTAGATGACTACCCTTTGTATTCCTGATCAACGAACATGATGAGTGATGTGTCGAAATGCTTTGAAATGAGAATGAATGTGAAGAGTAGGTGGTGTGGGAGTAAAACTACATCCATAAGAATTCGTTCACAACTCTGGAAGCCATCATCGTGATAGTGTTATTCCACAATATTCAGTCTGCACACTAGTCAATAGTTTGGATGCACAGTTTGTTATTTGAGATTGAAAGTAGGCGAGAGTGGGGTGAAAATAACACTGTGAAACACAGTAAACGATTAAGTCTCACACACGAATTCACGTGTATGCCTTCAAATATACTAGCCAAATGAATGTTATTCCGATCTATCCTCTAGAGATAAATTTGTTGTTCTCTGTGCAACACTGACCTCACTGTATTATTAGTTCTCATTTGTATGTCTATTAATGTCATGACATGTTATTATGTGACTAAGGACTCAACAATTTAGAAGACATTCAGCAGAAAGTGAATAAAATTATTGCTCAATAGCTCAGTTTCACATGATGACACTTGAAGTCAGTGAGTGGTTTTATTTTGCATCGAAATAAGTATTATGCTATGGCCTTTGTCAGTGTGTACATGCATCTTTAGAAAAATCGATCATCAGAATTCTGTGTCTATGTTCAGTGGGGAGATATTGATTTTCAATTTCCCACGAAGATGTGCATTCCTCAATTTTCCTCTTTTAGTCGAGGTAATTTGTGCATTCTATCCTAACGGGAATATATCCATTTACTTTGAGGAGGTAAGCATTATGACTTCTGAAAATCTTTTGCATGTGTTTTGCTTGTTTCGAACTCTCTTGACTCTTTTCATTGTAGGCAAATATCTTGAAATGGTTGTTTACAGAATGATATGATTTTGAAAAGATTTTCTAAATGAAAGCATAAAAAAGCAAAAATGTTATATGGAAAAAGTTGCTGTATTGACACACCAGTTCCTACTTCACTGATTTAAATCTACTTTTTATACGGTGAAGAACACATTTTTAGGAAATCTATATCGAATCCTTCTTGTTTCATAATGAATTTTCACCATTCCTTTGAAAGAGAGTCATGTGTTAGCTATTTCCATACATTAAGGATAAGTGTCACTTTAGGTTTCTGAAGTTGATTTATGCTGGAAAAATCTAACTGGGACTCATGGTTTTTGAAAGTAATATTGGTTTATAAGCTGGAAGCTTATTTTTTTATAATCGTAGATATGCTTCCTTGTTTACATACATTCTCCAGTGTTGGTATATAACCTTGAATTTGGTCGAACAGACTATCTTAGTAAGGTAATGCGACATAAATACTGCAACACCTTAGTCATAGATTATTGCAGATGGGATGGTTTATGTATCCTTTAGAATGTGCATCATACAATAATTGAAAGCATTCACACTTTGAATGAGTGAAATATGCATGGATATCAATGATGTTACAAGACTCATCATCTGGATTGCATATTTCCTCTGTCTCGTTCCTCATATGTTATTTTTTTACATTACTGGAGGTGATCTACAACCAAGGGAACTAAATAAAGGAAATGAATTTGAATTATAAGAAGGGTTTTTGTATGAGAACTGTTTTGTCAGACCATACAGAAGAGCAAGAAATAGAAACTGATGAAAAAAATATAAGAAACCAAGGAAAGAGTATCAATGTAACTTATTTGTTAAGTGCTCTTCATGTTATTACTATAGCCTGGAGTTTCGAGATATTGTATTTTTGAAACTTTGCAGAAAGTACACATAAATAAATCGCCGTGAGGTGTCAACTCATTGCACTGAAGATACCTTTGTGTCTGACTACTTGCACACGATTACACGCTTTCGATTAGTATGTTAATTCTATTGGCATGTAATTCTAAACCAGGTTTGATACCACTCAAGAAAAGTGATCACCTAAATGAAGATATTTTAAGACTTCGTAAACCTACGTCAGCACCCATCATACTTCAATCTAAATGGCTACAAATTGTAGATACTATATGCTAACTTGATGTTGAGGAATAAGGTGTAAGTTCTGCATGATGTTGAGTATTTTGTCATCAGAATTAGATCCATAAGATGATTCTGTTCAGGTGTTTGAAACCCTGATAAACAAGAAATAAATTCTATACCGAATTTGTTTGTAGTGTAAGTTTCGCATTTTCTTCTTTATGAGGCGACTAACTACATCACCATCTATGTGTTGCTACCCCTTCCTCTATCAACATATCTACATAAAACGCTCCAATGGATCGCTCTTGTTGGCTTCACAACCTTGTTATATGCTTTACTGTTACTTCTCACAAAAGTTGTAACTGATTTGTGTTACTTAATTACCATAAATTCATGTTCCGTCCGACGTCGAAATTATCCCCAACAAAGAGGAGGACAGGACTACAGCTTCCTTCACACATACTTCCTACAGTAGTCATAGCTCACTCAATACCCCATGATGAACGAGCGGTTTAGTACAGATTTACCGAGTTGAGATTTTCTGAAACATTGCTTTCGGGGTTTCACTTCTGTAGTAAAACATATGTTTCTGATCACAGTTCAGATTTCCTCAGCATTTCTATCATCTGTGTTGCATCTGTATCATGATTTTGTCATCATGCTAACTGAATGGATAGTACTGATCAAGGAGATGGGAAAGAAATGTTATTTGAGTTTCTTAGATATTATATCATCTTGATTCGAAAGACCGAAATTCAGCGTTATCATTAACGTCAACTCGTTTCAGATTCCGAAGCTGGTCGATGACTCATTGGAAGACCTGATGATCACCGACGGCTCTGAGTATCCATTATGCGATGAAGGTAAGTTGAATGTAGATATGTTTTTGTTCTGTGATTGAGATCGACTGATGCATATTGTTAATCCTTGGTCAGATTCATCTTACTTATCAAGACTATCTTACTGCCTTAGTAGACTTTCAATAGATGGATCTGTGATAAATTAAATTGTGTGACACTGGATTATAGTCATCTAGTGACTCCAGAAATGCAAGCCAAATTATGCTCCGTAATTACTTAGATAATGAGTAGGTAAACTATCGATAGCATTTATCCAGTTTTGTTATTTCGAACTAATTAATAGGTAGTTTATGATTTATTGTTTGAGCTCACTTTATTCATGTTGGAGATATATCTAGATGACTCATGTTGGTTTGCAATGGAAAAAAAGTCGGTTTCAGTTTACAATGAAAGCACACAGATATGCTTATATGATATGCTGATCAGAAAGTATTCGGGACAATCCTCCAGAAGAATGTAAGCTTACAACTGATGTACAAAGACGTTTCAATAGTTCGTATTTTGTATCATCAACAATGAAGCCCTATGTTCTACTAGGAACCCAAAGGACAAATAATAATAATAATAAATCACCAACAATAGTTCTATAGATTTTAAGTGGATCCGCTATTTGATCGATACAAATATTTGTCTCTAATTGAGAGGACCACTTGTTGACTTGATTTGTATGGAATGGGAAAGGCTTTTAGTTGGTATCCAAGATAATGTTGGTACGGATATGAAAGTATGATTTTTTCACAGATGGTGTCAATTCTTCGACATGAAATCTGTTGTATATTATATCATCTGAACCTCCATAGCACACTCTCTAATTTGTGAGTCCGATATGGGAAGATATTGATTGAGTTGTCCAACAGATAGTACTGGGCATGACAGAAACCGCTAACTTGTATTTGAAATATCCAGCTGGAATTCCAAATATGAGTACATGCAAGTCAGAAAGTAGGATGACCAGTTTCTATTATCCTATATGTGTGCAAATCGCCGTTCATCAGAAAAGCAGCACAACAATTGCTCCCTATCAGTGAATACCAATTGATGTTTTACTTCCATTTACTTTTCAGATGAAGAATATTGCCATAGAATCACTTACAGTGAGATAGAAATTCCAGAATCCATGATCAAATCAAATACTCTGGTGGAATTTTCACCGAATTCAAGTACGTGAATAAGAATTAATTTGGTTTCAGGATTTTGCTGAACATGTCTCGAAAATCAAACGACTATTGACTGATATTTGTTCAAGTTTACCAAATGTCAGTTCGTCAACTTGTGACGAAACCAGAGCAGACAGCCTTTTCCCCTAGCCTTGCATATTTTGTCGGGTTGCTTGCATTAGTGTAACTGCAAGAGGACACAAAACTGATTGCAATGATGTTCGCATATAAGGGAAAGCTTTTCACTCATGTGAAGAGGGACTGACTTCGGAAGCGTCAGTCATTGTAGCTGCAACTTACACAATAAATAGGTGGGAATAAATAGTTATGTCACCAGTTTGGCAAAATCAAATTAGATATATCCACTAATGGGAACAAGTTCTAATTCAGCTTCCCATCAATGACATTTCGTAAATGTTCATGTTTCTGTTTGGTGGTATAAATGAAATCCTACAATACAGATAATTTATCAACATGCTAAGTGATCAACATACAGGTATACGCAGATGCACTTCGAAATCACTGTCATTGTGAAAGAAAATCTCAACCTTCGAAAGATTTCTGGCAGCACATAGACAGTCAGAATATTCATTTCCTCATTCGGAGAGACTGATTTGAGCAATAAAACGCCTTTTTGACCAGCAAACAGAATTATAGCTTGATTGACTACTGCTCACCAATACACATAAAATGCCATAATGCTCTTCGAGCTTGATGGGAAAGAACAGCTCAGCTGAAGTTTATCTCGAATTAATCACGATTTGCTTGTAGTAAAATGTGTATCTGCCATTTGATTGGATGACACCTGCATTTTTCGTCTCCAGTACTTTGTATTTCATGCACGGTATATCAAGGTGAGGCAAGGTAAAGTCTATGACGATCTTCCAAACTGAGCATTTTTCTATCAACACTTACCTGCACACAATCGGTGCAAGCAACTTGATTCGACTTTTCAATGAAACCTACAGGTAGCAGTTTATAGTTTATCAGATGTAAATCTTTCAGATGATAATGATAATGTAGAGTACGTGAAACTAAGACAGGATTCATTTTATCCTACCAGAAATTTGTTTGATCACAAAACATTAGTTAGATCTGAATACCAATCACCATTAGCGTTTACTAGGTCTGTTGTCCTTTTTGCTGTAAATAGTCACCTCTACTCAGTAGTGTCAGAGTTAAGGCATAATGTGCTTTACAACTTTGGCAAAATAGGACGCTGTAGAGTTAACTATTGGATATCTGTTTGCTTTACATGAAGTTTGCTCTGAACAAACAATTTGTGACGCGTGCAACAATGCAAGCAATTCAATCAGGAAATGCTTTTGGTGTCCAAAAATCAATAAATGCAGTCATGGTTATGATATTCACAGCTTGGAGTGGATAACTGCAAACTGCCATGTTCATGTAAGTTTGTGAACGTTTTCGATTGTAACACATTCATTTTTGAGGCATAATAACCATGTTCTTACACCTTTTTCTAACATTACATTCTGCTCAGTTGGAATGAATTTAACGTATATGGATTTATTCATATTGCGAATAAATCCAATATGTGACAATAGATGCATGTGATGCGTGCATGACAGAAATATCCAAGATCTGTGTTCATAATTGAGAGAAACGGAGAATAAGATTTGAAAATGTGGAATCAGCGTTGCACTTTAATAAGTCTGAGTGAATGAGCTCTTCAGTTATTCCATAATCTGTGACTGCTGGTCTTGGGAATAACAGTCTTGGTTAGCTGAACCAGTCTGTACTTCGATATAAAACGAACTGATTCAATGGCATATATGACCAGTTTTACTCGATATTTAACCCTTATACAATATGCCATATCAACACAATTTAACTTTCTGCAGATCTCTTTCATTTTGTGCGTTTCAATAACTTACTTGAATTCTAATGGGAAAAATGTAATTGTTTCAGAATACATCAACTTGCACCGATTCACTTGGAATGACTTTCAAGCATAATGAAACGTTTACAAGTGTACTATCTACTACACCTCGAGCAACAGTGATGAGAGATACCGGTGTTTGGAAATCTATGGTTGGAGCTACAAACGTTAGCTGGAGTAATCGGACAACCTGTCGTAATGTGAACGAGAAAGCTAAACTCGCAAAACTGCAGTACTCATGTGTGAACTGTGGAGCACCAGATATCTATGCAGTTAGTCTACGCCTATTCATCTTTCTCCTGATACCAGCTGTAGTCATCGCAATCTCAATTGTAGTATGGATATGTCGAAGGGTATTGAACGTAAGTATTCTACAGAAGTACACCTACTAACTTGAAAATATTTCTGAACCTATGAAATGTTTGTCAAATCGGAGCATTTGGAGTATGCTGGAAGACGAAATATTTTGATAAGCCAGATGCATTGGTATACCCATGAGCTTACAGCGAGA